CATTATCCAATTTGTAAACAGACTCATATCACTTACCTTAAGGGATTTAATAAGTTCCTAGTTGAACTATTTGCTTTGTAAGAACATCAAATACATCTAAGTATTGCTTTAATGTCGTTTTCTTATTTCAGAGTTTTCTGGTTCTTACTGTATGCATTTTGAACAAAATATAGTCCTGAAGAAAGATGAAAACTGCGACAAATTTATATAAATTGATTTCAAAAACAATAGTAATTTTCTTTTCTTAAAGTTGGATTTTAAACTATAAACAGGATAAGTCAAAAAAAAAAGTATGATTTGCGGCGCCTTGTGCAAAATTTTACTTTTTTGTGAAACTCTTCTGTGTGGTGTTTTTTCAATATTTTTTGAAATGAAACTTTTTTTGATACTCCAATGGCCCAAAAAAAATCTGCGAACCTTTATTCTCTCAAAATTAAAAGTTCAGAAAAGCAAAAATTTTCAATTTTTCCGTAAAAATTAGACCAGAACAGAAAATTGCGTATTTTCTTAATACAATTCTGTGATTCAATCTTTTTAAAACTTTAAATTTCGATAGAAATAATTTCTTTAAAATTTAAAATTTTCAAAAAATATTGAAAAAACACTATTCAGGAGAATTGCACAAAAAAGGTACAATTTAGCACCAGGCTTCGCAAAACACATTTTTTTGACTCACCCTGTATTATTTCTTGAGCCAAGGTGCGCTGTAGTTTAATAGCGTGTGTATAGAAATAAAAACGGATTGAGTTTCAGTGTGAAGGGCCCTATTTGTTATTCTCTGAATTGGTTTTAGTGGTGGCCCTGAAAAGGGCTTTTAAACGATGATATATTATATTTCTAAAGCTAAGGTGCGCTGTAGTTTAATAGCGTGTGTATAGAAATAAAACTCTGTATTTCTATATATAGTTGTAATCTCTGTTTGTATGTCCGATCATAACTCATGAACCCCTTGACAGATTAGTCTCAAATTTTGACTGTGGCCAAACAAAATTTTGTCCATGGACAAATTCCTATACACGAAATGATAATTTTCAGGCTAATTCAAGCAACCATTTCATTTCGTTTATGGGAGTTTGTCCATGAACCATGGGAGATCAGGATTTGTGACATTCTGCAGAGGGGGCTGATTCACCCCTGAAAATCATATTTTTACATCTCCAGGGGGGCTTAGCCCCAATAGCCCCCTCCCGCTTACGCCTCCGCCCATAGATTTATTTCTTTATACTCTATACGCCCTTGCATTGCAGTCTAATATGTATCTACTTTAGGGTCCTTGCACTGCCTCGCCCCCCCCCCCCCCCCCCCCCCCCCCCCCCCCTCTGAAATGAGCGGGATATTAAAAATTGGCGGGAAATTCAACTGGGAATTCCTGGCTTTCCCTAAACAGACGCCGGCTTGTGCACCTGTCCTTATGGTTAATGGGCACATTGAGGGGG